AAACTAAGCTATATATTTTGCACACAACCTAGACTAAGGAATATATTTATGTTCTACAGCTGTTTAACATACTTCATCTACCTTGACTATGGGTATAAGATAACCTAGTTTAAAATACTGATCTCACACACCTGTGACAGGTACCTGCGACAGGTGTCACACAGAACACACAACAGCTCCTGTGATTACAGATCGCTGTCTTTGAGCTGCTTCTTATCCTCGGATTGAAATCTTTCAGAGAAACTCTTTTCCTTCTTGGTTTTCTCATAAAAGAGGAAGATGATGAAACGGTCAGAGAGGAAACAAAACATATCAATGATCTGATACGTTAAACACACACGTCTCTCACAGGCGCTGTGTTATTTTGCACTGTTGTTGTTGTGTTTCTGTATCTTGGCTCTCAGCTCGTGGCACAGCTCTTTGTACTCTGACGTGTTCTTCGAGTACAGGTTCCCGCCCTTCAGCCAGCCCATCATGGTGTGCCTCTCCTCCTCGTTCAGGACTCCCTTCTTGTAGTAACCTTCCACCAGCAGCTTGTCTCCAGCATCGTGGTAGCGCTTCGTTGCGTCTCTGGACATATCTGAGAGGTTCAGTGGGGGGATTCCTGCAGAGTTGACACAGCGAGCAGAGAGAGGCGGGGTTTACTCACTGACCAGGAAACGGTGTCTCTGACAGCATCGCACTATATCTGTGACCACGGAGGCGAGGACACGCATTAATGTGATCCTTGGTGCTTCACGTGTTCCTGTGCTAATAATTAACCTGTGTGTGGCTGTGGAACCAGTGGAACCAGTGGAACCAGCACTCTGTGCATTAAACTGCTGAAAGACTGTTTCATCATTTCATGAAAAACACGAGTTCGTTTTTACAGACAGATGTTTCTTTGTGTCGTTTCTATGGTGACGAACGCCCTCAGCTCATCGTCTCATCAGTAACCTGGTGTGTGACAGCACGTAGCGCTTCTATCTGCACGTACCTGCATCCTCTCTGAGGGAATTGGATGTGACCGGATTGGCTGCCAGCAGCGACATCTTCACCAGTTTCTCCCCGTCTCCAGAAAGAAGAATCTCCTCAAGCTTCTCGCTGGAACAGAAGCACGTTAGCGATCCAAAGAGAACTCTGAGTTTAGCTCCAGGACGAGCAGATTTGTTCTCACCTGATTATACGAGACTCTTTTCTGTTGCGCCAGGTCAGGCCTGCCTCGTGGTGCGATTTCAGGACCTCTCTGCACAGCCCGCGGTCGCCGTTCTTATCCAACAGTGCAAAGAGGTTGGGACTTTTGTTTTTCAGGTCCTCTCTTAACTTCACGTTCTCGGGGTCCTGCAGCGTTTTAAGGGCATTCTGAAAGACACATCTGGGTGGGACGTGGTCGGCTTCCACCGCCAACCTGTTTTCACCACATTCTCTTTGGTTGGAGGTTTGCACCCGGATTTTGTACACACTGTTGGCAAGAAACACGTTCAGAGTACGATTTAATGTGTGTTACACGTGAAGCTCGATCTGCTGGTCGTCGTGGTCACACATTAAATACTTACTCAGCGTGCGCTCCGACCAAACCCAGACGTTGTTCTCGGATATTTCGTAATTCCTCTGGACTCAAACCTTTCTTGCTCATGTCGCCCCAGATGGCGTTGAAATCGTCTACGGCTTTTCTTCGCGCCTTTCGATCTCCTCCACATATGTAATATCTTCCAGGAGAGTTACAGGTTGCTTCATATCCTTTCTGCAGCTTCAGAGCTCCTACGTATTTGGGTAGGTTTTGCTGAAGCTGAGTGGAGATAAAACACGACATAAGATGAGTTACCTCATTGCTTCCAACATGTGCAGACTCTGAATAACAGGCTACACCTCCTGTAAAAAGGTAAAACACTGATTGGTCCATAATCACACAGACCTCCAGAGGCCAAGTCAGGGTGGGCTAAGCCTGTAGAGGCGGCCACTGAGATCGTGTTTGATGAGTCCAAGACGGCTCAAGACGAGTTAGTTTCCCAGTTTGCAATTTCTGAGAAGAAACCTCGTGTTTACTTGCATATGCAATCAGTGACTTAGTGTTGCACGAGCCAGCCATAAAGGGTGAGACCGGCCTTAGTGTTTTCCCATCTGAACGAGCTAAACCAGATCATTGTGCACCACCTCTGGTTTGTACAAAAGCCAAGCAAGTTACTAAGGAGTCTGTTAAATCTGCTCCTGAGCTTGTAAACCCAGCGGCTTTTCACTCAGTTTTATTTACACAGCGCCAAATCACAACAGCAGTCGCCTCAAGGCGCTTTATATTGTAAGGTAGACCCTACAATAATAACCCAACAATCATATGACCCCCTATGAACAAGCACTTTGGCGACAGTGGGAAGGAAAAACTCCCTTTTAACAGGAAGAAACCTCCAGCAGAACCAGGCTCAGGGAGGGGCGGCCATCTGCTGTGATTGGTTGGGGTGAGAGAAGGAAGACAGGATAAAGACATGCTGTGGAAGAGAGACAGAGGTTAATAACAGATATGATTCAATGCAGAGAGGTCTGTTAATACATAGTGAGTGAAGAAGAAACACCCAGTGCATCATGGGAATCCCCGGCAGCCTACATCTATTGCAGCATAACTAAGGGAGGATTCAGGGTCACCTGGTCCAGCCCTAACTATATGCTTTAGCAAACATATTTGGTCTCCCCAAAAAGTCCCTCCATAAAGTCCAACTTCTTCAGACCTCCGCAGCTCAGGTCATACCTCGCACTCCGCCAAGAGCTCATATTACAGCAGTTCTTCAGCAGCTTCACTGGTTGCCCGTAGATCCCAAGATTAACTTAAAATCTTCCTTCTCACGTACAAGTGTGTCCATAAATCTGCTCCTTCCTGTGTGATCTGCTCCATATGACCACTGTTTCCTCCCCTCTCAGATCCTCATCTGCCATCATCTTGTTCCTTCTGCTCGTCTCACCACTATAGGAACAGAGCCTTCAGCCGCTCCTCGGCTCTTCCTCTCTTCCATATTTACAGTTCACAACACATCTGTTCAAACCGGCTTATTCGCTTTAGTGCTGATTTTATCTGTTGTCAAGCTTTGTTTTGCAATTTTAACTCATTTTATGTATTTTAATAACTATTGCCCCTTTTATTTTTTTATTTTTTGTCTTGTGTAAGGTGACCTTAAATAAAATGTATTATTATTAGTATTACCATGACAACTACCTCTTGTCTTCAGGCCTGTAGAGTGCATTTCCTGACTTAAGGCCACGTTCCTGTGAAGGGTCTCAGTCTTATGTCTGTTGGTATCACAGTGACAGTCTCCTTCCAAAACCTCTCTACAAAACACTATGTGGTGCTAATTATGAGGCATCAGCCTTACAGATAAAAATAAATCCCAACACTATCTGTCCCCCCTCCTTGTCCCACAGAATCGTGTGATGTTAGTCTGTCTATGAATGTGATTGGCCACATGGTGTGTCCATAACAGTCCTGCCTTCATGGATTCAGGGCTAAAGCTCGTCTCTTATTGTTCGCTACAAAGAATCGGCTGTTAGAGCCGAACATGAAAGAAAACATCACT